TCGTTACCTGGGTTAACGCCTCGATAAAAACGGATTATAAGTGATAGAAGACAAAGTCTAGCCCATTCTTGTCGCATCTGAACCCAAGAATGAAGCTGAACTCCCATCATTTTTAGGGCGGTTTGCTCACTATCGGCGCTTCTTACCAAAGGCTTCAACTGTATTTGCATCCTTGTACGAACTGTTGCACAAGGAGAAGTCCAGGACTTGGGGTGTGGATCAGGGAAAGGCCTTCAAAGATGCAAAAAGAATGCTCAGCACCTCCCCGTATCTCGTGCATTACGATCCGAGGCGGCCTAAAGTGTTGCCATGCGGTGCTTCTCCACGCGGAGTAGGCGAAGTCCTTTGCAACCGGAAGGATGACGGTTCTCTTCGTCTAATCGTTTTTGCTTTTCGCACCCTGCAACCGGCTGAAATCAATTACTCCCAACTGGAGAGCGAGTCCTTAGCGGTTATTTTCGGAGTCAAGCATTTTCACCAGTACGTCTGGAGAAGACAGTTCGATATACACACGCATCACTTCTTTCGCCTCTGGGTGAAGATAAAGGAGTCCAACAAATGTCTTCGCTTCGAATACAAAGGTGGACACTGCTTTTGAATGCCTATAACTGCAAACTTCAGTACGTAAGTGACCAAATAATACCATTGCCAATACAGCATGGCACAGCAGCATAGCACAAAAACGAACAGCGAATCCATGGAGTTTATCAAGCTGATGCAATACCTTGAAAAGACACCCATCCGGTGTGACGCGGTGCGGTGCCTGAAGAACCGGGACCCTGTGTTGTCGATGGTGAGACGGTTCTTGATGTCCGGATGGCTACAAGCACGACAGACAAGCTGAAACAATTCGCCTGTCGGAGTAATGAGTTCAGTCCATACGACGGCTGTATATTTCGGGGCTAGCACATAGTTCTACCAGACGAACTACGGCTCCGTTGCTGAGAAAATTGCATGACGCACACCCTGGCGTGAACAGGATGAGGGTGTTGGCATGTTGTTACTGTTGGTGTTCGACCAGGATATAAAGCAAGTGCTGAAAATTGCGAACAATGTCAAAACTACCAAAGACAAAAATGTCCCAGTCCGATACGTACATGGTGTTGGCAGAAGAGGCCTTGGAAGCAGGTCATCATCATCATTTATCATTACACAAGTTAACTGCAGGTGGAAAACACCTCAGTTATTGTGCCGCAATATTAAAGACAAGAAAAATATACCACAGTGGTACCCCGGCTGTCCCCAGTTACGGATGGACATAGTTCCGGAGAGCTAACAGCCGGGTATCGTGCTGTAAAAAGAGTTAAATTACGTCTAGCGAATGGGATCGTGATTGGAGAGACAGGCCAAGCAGGAGTGGATGGACAAAGGAAGTCACAACACAAACGCCATTGAGGCCGGCTCCTAACCATATCAGTAAGTGTGTCCAACTTAACATGTTCATCATCCGTAGGACCCTAGCCAGGCAGTCGGGATGCACCAACCGACGCCAACCTCGAAGTAAGGGTTTTCATTTCTCGCGACCAAGTCATCGCTTGGCCTCCTCTCCTACTCTTCCAACCGCATCCACAGCGCGCAAACAATGTACGTCTCGAGAGTCGGTGCGCTGGCATCCGCAACAAGTGGCCCAGCCATCGGATCCCGGTGCGTGATATTATGGTGCTGAGTGGATCCCTCGCTCTTACTGCACTCAATACGCGAAGCCGAACACGTTCATTGCTCATGCAATGCTCCCACCTGAAATGAGCTAAGCTGCAAACGCAGCAATGATTGAACGTGACTAGCCTCTTTATGTCTGTCGACCTGATGGGCGAGGTTTCACAACCGTATAAGAGGGTTGAACGGACGGCTGCGTTATAATCTCTGTCCTTCAGGGCAAGAGTAATGTCGCATTTCGAGCTTTTGCTATACGGTTCGTAACCTCGGCTTCGATCCCATGGGCGCTAATATAGCTGCCCAGGTACTTGAATTCCTGAACGACTTCTAGCTGATCACCACAAAGCGTTAGCGCAGGGGTGGGTCCCTGCCAAGCTTGGAGAAGTACTTTGCATCTTGTTGGAGCGAAGCACAGACCAAAACGATAGACAAACGGTACTAAGCGGTCCAGTGCTGCTTGACATGTTTGGGAGCTGTCACAGATTAAGATAATATCGTCCGTGCACTTCAAGTCAAGAAGTCGCTCACCAGGAAGTAGCTCCACACTTTATAGACGGTGTCCAGCGAACGCTGTTTCCATGACTTTAACAATAGTGAAGTTGAAGAGGAAAGGTGACAGCGGGCAACCTTGTCTCACACCGCTGCTGACTACTGAAGTGTGCCGACAGTCTGCCATAAACCCCAACTCTGCCCGAACTATGCGCGTACAGCGTTTTGAAAATGTTTACGTATTTATCAGGCACACCTTTCCTCAGCAGGCAGTCCAAAAAGGCACATCGATCGACTGAGTCGAAACACGACAATGGTGGGTCGCCAATAAACTTGGTGGTGCCCCAAAACTTGCCGCAAGGTGAAGATGTAGTCGATACAGCCCCGACCTCGACGAAACCCGGCTTGCTCTTCACGAGTCTGGCTTTCACGAGTACTACTCAGTCTGTGGAGAATGACAGACGCAAGCAATTTAGAGGCAATTGAGATCAGACTGGTCCCTCTATGATTGCCGCATTTCGAACGGGAGCCTCCCTTGAAAATTAGGACAATGACGGAGCGGCTCCAGTCTGTTGGGACAGTCTCCTGCTCCCAAAGTTTCATTAGCAACTTGTCTGGAAGCGGGTATACGCGGACTAGTTTGGCCCAATCAATGGACCAATCAATGTGTCTACTTTTGATTGATTCCATTCCAAATAGATGGAAGTACATTCATTTCCCCGTGCGACTTCCGCAGCAACAGTTGCCAAAATGCGCTCCATATCCGCCATTTTCTGTATTCCAAAGACGGTATGCACCGACAAAGGGACACGATTTCCCAGTGAGGAGTTTCAACAGTTCCTGGGTAACAGCGAAGTACAGCACATAATGTCTGCACCGTACCATCGCACGTTGAATAGTATGGCAGAATGTGCAGTCCAGACTGCTAAGCAAGGTTTCTTTAGGCAGACTCATGGCACTCTGCAAACTAAGTTGGATCGTTTCCTGTGCTCTGACCGCACGACATCGACTGAGTCGACATGGAATTCACCCGCGAAGTTAATGTTTGGCCGGCTACTACGAAAAGAGACTAGACCTACTTTTTCCGAACCCACGAACGAGAATGGAGGCAACACAGGAGATGTTTGGGGATGACAAGATGCCAGAGGAAATGTCTGTATGATTTTGATCCGGTATACACAAGGCTGCCTCACGAAGCAAGCTGGCAACCTGCTGCACTTATGTCCTTAGCGAGTAACCAAGCTGATGTACAGCTGGAGGACTGTCGTGTGGTGCGCCGCCATTTCGACTATATCCGGGCCACCCTCAATCGAACCGCAGGAGCGGGATCAAAAATCGACTGCTACCGACACAAAACGGACGGGGAATCTGCTACACAAAACCGGGTACATTAAACGGATGCGGAACAGCCTAAGACGCTCAAAACGCACGCCTAAGTTAATAGATCGGCAACAACCCGGAGACTGCAGTCTTTACCAGAGAAGAAAGGGGTGCCGCGTTAGCAGTTGTGTAATGATCGTGAACACAGGCGCTCGCATGATTCGTTGACAATAACCTTGCCTTACCTTCCTTATTTCATTGGCTTTTCGTTTCGTCATTCCTCGCCACTGTAACCTAGGAAACTTCCGTTAAACAATCCCATACTACAACTGCGCGTGCTGTTCTGTATATCGGCTAGGGGCATACTTAACGGGAGGAGAGGCCAATCGATGACTTGGCAAAGGAGAATGAAGTCCACGATTTTGACGTTGACGTCGGTTAGTGTTTCCCCATTGCCGGGCTGGGGACCGACGGACGATGAACCCGTATGGTTGGACACGCTTGCTGATATGGCGAAAAGCCTGCTCTATTGCCATTTGTGTTGTGTGCTTCTTTGTCCATCCCCCTCTCCTTTAGCTTCCCGCTCTAAGAACGATCTCAAACAATATGCATAATGTGATATTTAGCATTATGTTACCTTTTTTAGTTTTTAGTCCGTATTGTTTAATCTCTTTTCTTTTTGTATTGGGGCACATTAGCTGAGATTGGTTTCTAACCCTCGGCTAACGTGTGTTGATGATGGTGATTGCGGTGGTAGCCGTGGCAAGTGGATTTACCGCATCTCAATGCTTGGATCATAGTTGATCAACTGAACTGTACTGAATTTTCTAATTGTCATCCATGCATTTCAAGTGCACACTTGACGTTACTGCGCAAGCCCCGTCTGGGGAGTAGCTTCAGCGGTGCTGCTTCCATCGGCCTTCTACGTTATTTGCCTCTTCGACATTTCAGACAACTCATGCCATCTTATTGAGAAAATGTAGGAAGACCTTTGACAATCCTCTGTTTCTCACATAGAATCGTTAGAAGGATGAAAGCTATTCCTAAAATTACCCGTATTTGGAAGCATGTGATCAACAAAATCTTAACGGATGCAACTTGAAGCTGCTATGTATAACTGATAGCGCAGTTCACTAGAGAGCCAACAAGTTAAAATTGTGATTAGCTGTTCCGTTGCATAATAGGCTTGATAAGGTGATCCGGAGGCAGAAAATACACGTCAGTGAAAATTCGCTTTTAGATCATGGTGACTGCAAAGTGTCTGCTAAGTTCATCTTCGTGACGGGTATGATTGGTTTTCACGCTACGGCATTCTGGATGCAACGTTTACTGTCAAGTTCCTCTATGTGGGAACTGAGCTGAACCTGATGTTCAAATGATGTAGATAGTTTGGCGTCTCCAGTCGCAGCTAGGGAAGGATAACTTGCAGATGAATCCAGCACCCATAAATCAAGTGACGCGACGCTCGCATACTTAAAAGTGGAACAGATGGCGCAAAAACTTGAATATAGCATGGGAAAGATGTAGCAACTTACCAAGCACTGGTCACAGTTCGGGCCACCAACAAATCGCTTGCAAGTACACAGTCCCGTGTATGGGTCACAACCCCCGTTGTCCAACGTTCCCATCATATTGCATGTGCAAGCTTTAATAAAGAGGTTATGACGGATTAAAATAACTCTATTTGATTTAAACGTTTATAATTGCACAACGAGATAGTGATATATGATCAAATTAGTGCTCCAACAAGGTAGGGATGGCTACTCATAGGTAGAATGAGATCAGTGAGCGAGCCTAAAACGAAAGGTGGAAAAAATGTAAACAACACTGTGCATCAGTTTTGGACGGAACTGACGCAATCCAGCCGCAGTGTTTACCACACAACATTTGCCATGAAAACGAACGCAAATATAGGCCGAGAAAATCCTCGCGCTATGGTCTGGAAAGCTAAAAACAAAAGGGGTGAGAACTGTAACAAAAGAGAACAGTATAATGGCATGTCAGACTAACAGACGTGTTTAATTGTAATCGGCAAGTTTGCAGTTTAGTTGGCTCTTCTCTTTAGCACCGAGCCGTCTATTAAAACTGCACGAGAGTGCCATATCCTAACTGGGTGACGAGCCAATATTGAAATGCAGCATCCAGATTCCGCTTACCTTCACATCCATCGGGATTATTCGCTTGGAAGTTCCAGAAGCCAACCCTGCAGCGATCACATTTTTCACCACCAACGTTTCTTTTACACAAGCACCTCCCAGCCACAGTGCCTTGTTCCGGAATAGTGTACTGTTGGCAAAAGCCCTCATAGACTGTTCCATCCGTATGGCAGTTACAGGCTGTGAATAAGTAAAATCAAGAGATATATGTGCATATCGTACCAGTGTGGGCGAAATCGAAAAATCAATCCACGCAGAAGCAGCAGACCTGTGGATTTGTCGTCAAAAAGTTTGAATAATGGGTACAGGCTAGTGGTTACCCACATGTTTTGTGGAACAACCAACGATGTGTGGACATTGGTGGTTAGAGATTGCTTTGTAGTTGACACTGTCATTATTTCCTCGCAACATGTTGGTTAACTGAAAGTAGGGTGATGGGAGATGGATCCATCGGCACCACATACAAACATACACATCTATCACTCAGTTGAACTGTCTCGCACCGCCAAGGAATATACCATTTATGTAGTTATTTTCTTTGTTACAGTCTGTCATGCACTCACGTTGACACGTCAGCGGATGATTGATTGGGTAGGATGGGTGACGGAAGAAATTTTGTTTGCAGTATTCGCAGTTGACTCCTTCTGTGTTGTGCATGCATCCATGGCAATTGCCGCCTGACACGTTGCCCGAACTAGCATAGAGCAGTGGATTGAAAAAGCAAGCCGTTGCATGATCGTTGCACTCGCATTCTGAAGGGAGAAAGTGAGTAGAGGGAGACTCGGTGAATTTTTCAATAAAGTCACCAGTGATGGTCATGGCTAGAGGGGGCCTTTAATGCAGACCTAGCGAGCAAATCCCCAACACGGTATAGTCAGGAAGTACCTTTAACTCATGTAGAAAGGGTCAGGTGGGCTATGAAGTACTGTGTGTGTAAACCGTTAAAATCGATGTCTATGGAAGCATTTAGTTCGAAACTAGCATTTTAGTTCACTTACTCTCACATGCGTTCGGAGAATCTTTAGTGGCCGGTCTCCATGGTTTGTTCCAATAAAAGTCGGCACAAGTCTCGCAGTTTTCCCCCGCGGTATTATGAGTGCATTCACAGACTCCGTAGACCTAAAAACGCCAAAAGTGTTTTGTTAAGGCGATCATTGGATGGGAATCTTTTAAGGCTAGCTAAACAGCCAGACACGGCACCTTCGCATGCACATGCACCACCATGAGTATCCACAAACGTGCCCAATGACATGCCGTGTGTACAAGATTACAAACCGGACAAGTGTGGTTGCTCAAATCAGAATACCTCGAGAATTGTGGAACACAAAACGCGTTCCCAGGAAATCACACGTGCATCCTGGGTGATTCAGTGTGATACATCGTATGCAACGCAGCCCTGTGAAGTGCTTTGCACATTTGAAACCCTACGGCAATACTTTAGGTTGGAGTGGATTCCTACCGAAATCGAGCACAGAGAACTCGTGGCATTGTAAATCGAACATGATGGTGTAGAGATGGAGCTCCAGTGTACGGGCCTATCAGACACGGGGACCGTAAACAGGTGCATGAATAATGTTACAATCCAGTGATTGTGGAATAGCCGTCCCGCATGTAGTGTGTGAAAGCATGGTAGATGAGTAATGATAGACTTGCTTGTCCATTTCAATTAAGACCAGGGTGGAAGATGCGGCATTCACTTGGCCCTGCTGTCCAGATTGTAAAGTTCTCCGAGCAACAGTGTGATGTGTCCTATTCGCTATATTTTTACTAGGGTGGTCCGTACCCACCCCCAAGCGTTTGGGTGAACAGCATTCGTACACGGTAAGTCAGCTGGGACAGTATCATTAGAATTGAGTGCTAAACCTGGGCTTGATCTGCCATGAATATGCGCAATCCATCTTCTGACCGATAAGTGACTGAACCAAGTGAGCAATTAGTGTTAAGATAAAGGGCACAAAATATTAGTTTGACATCGGGCAGTAGCAGTTACTCCAAAATATGTAACTGCAGGTTGAAATGCTACTGGTTAACCAAAATGGAGACAACGGGTGTACCATTCTGTAAGTCGCCTTTAAATCAATGAAAAGTTATACACAGTTACAAATACGATGCATGGAATGGGGAGTTCACAAGGCATACTCACTTTCTCTGGTTTGATTATTTCGGCGGACGATTTGGGTTTGCAGCGTTTAGCATGACCAAAACAGGTGCAGCGACCCCAGACGTTCCATTCGTACAATGCATAATAGTACTTTCGTCGTGTCAGCGTCGAGTCGTCCACTCGCATGTCGCCTGTGAGTTAGAAAGTGCGAAAATGGAGCATGAAATCATGTGGTACCTGTGGTAGCAATGTCGTATTACCATTTCCTATTCGCTGAGAACCGAAACCAATGCCACAACAAGGAGGCTATCATTACTTGAAAGAGTAAAACACAGTATACTTATGGCCAAAGTGGAGCGAAAAGTCAATACTAACTCATTTTCTGCTGGCGTCCTTTTTAAACGACACGTTAGAATGTGACTTAAGGTATTGAATTATTGTAATAAGTATAAATGCTTCATTGGCAACTTTAGATATCATACTACTCTCCAATATTTTAAAATAAATTTAGGCAGTCTAACTATATTTTGACAAGAGATCTCCCTCTTGCTCTCTACTACCCAATGAACCGATGAAAGACAAAGATTCTCTTTTCTCCTACGATCACAAAAGGTGGGTAAAGTGAAAGATCTAAAAAGGTTGGTGTACTGTAACTAATTACTCATTGAAAAGTACCAAATACTTGCCATTTTAACGTTAACTAATATGGCTAGAGCACATCGTCACATACAAGCATTTAAAGTGTGTGCTAGTTATTGCATCCGTAAGCTGCAATTATCTGTCCTTTTTGGGGGACTCGGCTAACAAATAATGCCGTAACACGTAACTTGTGAAGGAGAAAATTATTGGTGACATGATCAAAAATATGCCCGTATTTTATAAATATTCCGATTTATTATGCGTATACTATTGCATTGTGAAACATTTCGCATTGGAATAACATGAATGTTCCATTGTAATGTCATTGGTTTCATTAAAATTGTATGTTTCAATTGGTCTAATCTGTTTCTTCAACAAGAACCTTAAAATGTATGAATGTATGTATGTAGTCTCAACAGTATAGCAACTAGACATAGAGCAAACAAGGCCATGGAGAACAGCAGATAAGGGGAAGACACTGCGTCATAATCATCGTGGCATGCTAGTTGAAGGTGAGCAAGACAGTTCAGCTACTATGCCGCAGGAAGAAAGGAATGTTTTGACAAAAAAGAGAACAAAGCATTTTTGTTTGTTTTTCACACGCCGATTTTTCCCTTTTATGTCATTTTCAATGTTGGTAGTATTAAACATGTGAATCAATACAATACTGTACACAATTCTTCCACTGATTCCGGTTGTGGGCCATGTCTTTAAGAGTGCTAAGCCATTGGCACTCCTCATCTTTGGATCCCCATTCTGTAAAACTTACGGGCCCAACAGCGGCTAGACACCATGTCAGTCATTTGATGTGCTGCCGCCAAGTGGAAGGCTGACCACCACGCGGTCGCCTCCAGCCAGGTCCTTGATAAGCGAATAGAGCGCGACGCGGTAGATGCTCAAGTGCCATGCGTAGGAGGTGACCGAGCCATCTCAAGTGGCACAACAAAAGCAGTTTGTTGAAGAGAATACTCGCATTCCCCAAGATGCGACTTCGAACGTCATTACTGTTAACTCGATGTTGACACCAAACGCGAGCAATCCTCCGTAAGCAACCGTTATGGAAGACAGAAAGACGACGTGTCTTCCACGCGAATTTGCAGGACTCGCACATATACAACAATACCGAGCGAACTGATGCGCTGTAAACGTGACCCTTTAGCGCGAATGGAACGTGTCTCAGATTGGCACATGCTGATCGGGCTTTAGCGATGCGAAGCGAAACTTCTTTGCTGATAGTGTCATCACCAGAAATACAGCTCCCGAGGTGGACGAAATTATCTACCTGTTCAAGTTGTGTACTTTCGAGAATGAGCACGGGAGCAGGTCTAAGCCAATCCTGGAGCAGTACTTTACACCTTGATGGAGCGAAGCTCATGCCATACTTAGATACTTCAACCGCCAAACGATCCAGAATGAGTTGCATACCTTGAGGATCATCACCAAGTAAGGCGATATCATCTGAATAATCTAAGTCGGTCGCGCGCTCATCCAGTGGAAGTACTAGGCCAAAATGTTGGAAATTTTATAGACCATTCAACAGAGCGTCTTCGATTTCGAAGTTGAAGAGGAACGGGGACATAGGGCAGGTCTGTCGCACACCGCTATTGACAGTGAATGGCGATGAAATCTTGCCATAGACCCTCACTCTACCATAGGTATGAAGGTAAAGTGCTCGTAAAATGGTGGTATATTTCTCTGGCAAGAAACTTCATAAAATAGGTCGATCAACGGAGTCAAAAGCGGCACGTATGTCTAGGAATGCAACCATAGTGGGACTGTGATAAATGTGGCGATGTGCGAGGAGTTGGCGGAGCGTGAAGATTTGATCCGAGCATCAACGGCCGGGAGGGAAACCATCTTGTTCTTCACGGTTGGAAGATTCACGTATTGGGGATAGTCTACGGAGCAGAATGGATGCCAATAGCTTGGAGGCAATCGAAATAAAACTAATGCCGCAATGATTTACACATGAAGTGCGAGCGCTTTTCTTGGAACTCGGGATAATAACTGATTCGCCCCAAGAGGAAGGCACTTTCTCTTCATGCCACCTTTTTACGAACAGCGAGGTCAGATGGTTAATGATCGCCACGCCACGGTATCTGAACAGCTCCGGAGGAACTTTGTCTGAGCCGATAGCCTTCAAGTGCCGAATCTCTAGGCAGATTTCCGCTTCGCTGGGTGGATTCAGTGAAACGAGCCAGGGTGTACAAAAAGGTGTACTGCTTGTACTGATGGACGGTGGAGGCCAGTTGAATTGCGAGTGAAAGTTCCCCGAAGGTTGGTGATCGGATATTCACCTGCCGCGCAAATAACCTCACTGACACCAGGCTTCCTGAGGCTAGTGGACCGAATGAGTAGGAAAACCTTGCAGGATTTGCCAGAGAAGACAGCGGCCACCATCTCTAAAGCACGCTTAGACCACCATGCCTCGCGATCCTTGCGTAGGCTTTGCTTCAGCAGCCGGTTAGCAGAACGGCGCCTATCGTTGCAGTCTGATTCCGCCGGGATATTTTTGAGGCATTCGAACAGCTCCAGAGAACGAGCAAAGATCCAGTCCTTTAACGTGCACCAAGTTAGGCTGCAGGTTGACTGTCTGGAAATGGTCATTGTTTTCTGTATACAAGTCCAGTGTTGCTCCAGGTCTTGCGGTGAGTTGTAACTGAGTGTGAATGCCAGTGAAGACTGATAGCTCGCCTGGACAAAGGAATCAGTTAATCTGTTTACATCAATCTTGCGGTGCTTCGTGTTTTGGAACCCCCAAAACACATGCAGATTTTCGCGCAAACCAGTGCATAATCTGAGTCAACGAAGTTGGAGCAAAATGACCTGCAGTCCAGTACGCTGTCACACCACCTGAAGGTAATTGCAACGTGATCAATTTGAGACCACGATTGTTTTGAAGAAGGGGGACGCCACGTTGCGGAACGCTTCTTCTTACGCCTAAAGTTAGTGTTCGCGAGAAACAGATGGTTGTCTTCGCACAATGTGATAAGTCTCTCTCTGTTATCAGAGCGGGGTTGTGTACCAGATTTTATCACTATGATAGAAACAGCTGATGCTGTTCTGGAAGGTAACATTTACATTACACCTACGGGTGATGTAGATGATAACAATGAAGTGCTTCAGCATGCGGGATCTTTTGATACTCTGTCAGCTAAGTAACCCGGTGACGCCGAGTCTATCTCAGCAATGTTTTATCGATCAGTAATAACAGTCAACATGGAGGGTGGACCATCCGAAGAGGAAGCAGAAAGTAGCAATAAAGGTTTACGAGATTTCTGCCCCTACGCTTGTTTCTTTGATAAGAACTCAAAAGAGCACCAGACCTAGAGTATGGAGGAAGGAAGACTTATGTCACTAAATGTGCAGCTGACTTCTTAAAGGAGAATCTTACACCGTATCGATCATGTGGACACCTCTTTGGTAACTCTGTTATTGAGCACAAGGCAAACAATTGAGTACGCCAGTTCAAAAAGTGATCACTCATTCAGCATAACCATAGATGAAATGCGTGCTTTCTAGCTGTTCTGTTTACTTCTGGTTCTATTCCATTACCATGAAAACATACATGTTTTATGATCCTGAACAAGATGTGCATCATGTAGTTACCAGAACAGAGTTAACACAATCCTGAAGTATCTCCGTCTGGCCAACAATGACAATGTCTAAGCAGATGACAACTGTGCAAACGTTCGAGCAGTTTGTAGCCTTCTCAATGAAATACTTGAGAAATGATTTTGCTTGGAAGAAAATCTGAGTAAATGAAGGCACGATGCCATGTTACGGTCCTCATGGGCTGAAGCAATATATCGGAGGATAGCCTATTAGATTCGGGTATAGACAGTAGATCATTGCAACATCTTTAAGGTATGTTGTCCATCTGGATCTCTACCATGGAGCTCAGGCCAAATATGACAAAACTTTAAGTTTGGGATGTGGCATTGTTATGGGCCTAGTAGACAAGCTCCCGAAGGGGTGTGTTGCTCATAAAAACAACTAGCAAAGGCATAAGAGAAACGGGGACAGTTCGAGCAAACAGGACAGACAATTGCACCATTGACATGAAGGTCCTGAGAAAAATAAACAAGGGTCCTTATAAATATATGTCTGACAGGCGAGATGACGTGTTCGTTTTTATCTTGGATTGATAATTCCGTCGTGACTGTTGCCAGCAACTCTGTTGTTTCATGTCCTCTGAGAAAAGTAAGGAGATGGTCGGCGAAGGACAAAAAGCCCTTAAGTACTTAGCAACGTGGTATCGTTAGCAAGTATAACACTCCGGTGGAATGAGTAGATCTACTAGACTAAAAGGTTCGTCAATATGGAATCAATTATCTGAGCAGAAAGTGGTGGTGACAGTTATTCGCATTTCTCCCTGATGCTGCAATGCATAATGTTCGACTTTTGTGAAGAAAAGCATCTCCACATGAGAAAGAGCAGCATAACATGCTTTTCATCAAACGAGCTTGCGCGAAAGTATAGTTGCAGATGTAGCTATCACAGCTAAATGCGCAAAAAAGCTTCTTACCACGAGCAGAAAGCGACAAAAAGT